CCCTACTGGACTGAAAACAGTCTGTGAATTTTCTACTGGTCAAAGGCAAGCTAACAAAGTGACAAGGGGACCTGCTTCCAGGTCAATAAAGCTATCCAGCAGCCTCAAGTTAGGTATCCAAAGGCCTGTTACATAGTTAAAAGGTACATTTCTCAACAGTACTAGTTTGACTGGTATGAATCCTCTTGGACTTGATTGAAAAACAGGACAAAACAGAACGGAACATATTCTCTCCTCCCCAAGAAATCCCTGTTACCTCCTATTATGTGTAAAAATTGTCTTAAAAACAAAATCAGTCTGCATTACAAACTCAAGACCAAAAGAAAGCACTGAACTATATACCTAACTGAATCAGGACATTATCAGATGAAATAATATAGATTGATATTAAGCCTGAAGGCCTCAGCCTTTTAGAAGAATCAGTGTCTCTTCCCCAATTGTTAAATCTAGGAACTACAGGACAGATAATACATCTGATCAAGCCATTTCCAGAGGTGAACTTTGCTAAATCAGTTTAGTTTTCCAAACCAAGCCAGACAGAGGCCTTACCAAAGTCTACTTTACACGACAAGTTTCTAAAGCTTAAACTGGCCCTGTTTGAGACTCCACTCACATTTCATTGGTTTTAAATCCGGAAAACAGTGCCCAACCACATGGATCAGGTGCAAACCATATAAAACCTTTCTCCCTTTCCATTACTTTAAAAACTTCTTAGGACAGGGGATCTCAAACTCCGTGATACCACGACCCCCCGCATGATGAAACCCAATGAAATCTGGCGCCTGGGGATCCCGCGCGGCCCGGAGGAACCGCTCGCGCCCGAGCAGGACACGGCTAGGAGCGGCCGAACACACAGAGCGGTGGCTGGGGAGGGAAGCTTGTGACCCCGTTTTAAGTTGATTATGACCCCCCGGGGGGGGGAGGGGTCATGACCCACAGTTTGAGAACCCCCGTCTTCAAATAAAATCTGAAGCAGAAACACAACATGTTTCAGCAACCTCAACCTTAGCGCTCGCTCGCTCTACCCAGCAAACCCATTCATCAGCCACCGGACGTGTCTAGGACGCCCCCTCGCCCCTTTGTAAAACCCCCAATGAACGCTATGCTCCAGCACAGACTTCACCACCCAAGTGCCGCAGACTCCATGAAATCCGGGGGGACCGCGCCAGCCGCGACAGGACATCTTCCCAGGGCCGGGTTAGCCCGGGAGGCGGGGCCCCCACCCCGCCACACGCGCCTCTGCCTGCGGGAAGGAAATGTCACAGCCACGTGCGAAGGGCATCCACCGCCCTCCCCCCACACAGCG